CAGGTTTCCACTTCATCTCTCCTCCAAAACTAACAGAAAAGTATTGAAACAAGAGGAGCTGCCTTAAAGAAACCATATTTCTACACAGCAGAAATCAAAGATAACAGATGGAACAATCTAGGCTTCACACATGTGAAGTTGAACCAGGTCATATACATGCCTAATGTCATCATTAATGTAGGGACATGTGATTCTGGAAAAATATGGATTTGCTGGGTAACAATGATAACACATTGTCAGCCTTATTTTGGTTTAACTTTTTTAAAGGAACTGTTTTCAAGGCCTATTCTCAGACATGGTTCTATTTTTGCTTCATTTTTCTTAATACTGATGCTGCCCTATTGGTTTCACAGGCTTATAAATGTTAAACATCAAAAATTAGTTTCACTTATTATGGCTGGGAAAGGGTTTAAGAAGTCTGGGATCTGTGCCTCTAAGCAAAAGCTTTATCAGCAGGTCCCAGTCACTGCTTCTTGAAAAAAGAAAACGGTACTGATTAAAAACCAATATACCTGATTTCCGAAAGGACCCCTACCATGGACGTATACATTTAATTCATAAAGGGCTTCTGCCCAAACTCACACTGATTTCCCAAAATCCCATCTCTCTATATTCAAAGCGATTGGCACCAAGGGAAGAAATATGAAAAATTAAATCTCAAACTATTCATTCAAGAATTCCATCTTGATTAGTTACTCTTCATGGGTGCTGAAGTAACAAGGCATCGTCATCCTTCCAATGTTTGTGTATGAATGGCAAACATTTTTCAGATGTTTCTCTGCTAGTACAAGGAAAAGAACAGGGCCCAAATTATTTTTTTTCTTTCAGTTAGAACTCTATAATCCCACACTAAATAAATTTAATTTTTCAGCCAGAACAAACCTTTCCATTTATATGGAAGTAAAAAGAACACCTGAGAAAAATGTTTACTATCCTTACCAGTACTGATAATATCATGTATTTCTGATGTAGTTTCATTTATCATAAAGTGTGACAGAAAGTAGCCCTTAAAACAGAAAACAACTAGTCAGTATTATACAATCCCATTTCTAAAAGAGCAGTATGACAAAACAAAACACCAAAACAGAAACCTAATATCCTCTAAGGAAACACACATTTCTGAAGCCTCCAAGGTACTACTTCTGCATATTTTGACAATCAGCTTCAAACTGCACATGGAAAGGAAAGCTCACCTGTGGACACTAGAAAGCCAGACAAGGGCAGAGCAGAATGTCACATGGTGACTCCATCCTGGCCCTGTGCATCATTTAGCAAAACTATATACAATTCTTAATTGTCAGGTTAACTGAGAGATTTAGCATGGACACATAAGAAATGCTATAATCCAATATTGCACTTACATCAACTTTTAGACTTGGTTTGCCAGGTAAAGATGAGAAGTACAGATAAAACTGCATCACATTTTACAGACCGAAAGTCAGTTGGTATTTGCCGTAACAATAATTGTCCAAAGTAAAAAAAAGAATTGGCAATGAATATAAAACTACCAGTGAAAAGATGTTTACATGGTCTCAGATTACCTCTATCTCCCCAAGAGATACTTATTCATTCATTACAAAGGAAAAAATAGTAACTTCACACTGGACAAATAATATTTAACTACTATTAATCAAATAAAGTAATACCATTAATAAAGAGGACAAACAGTAAGCATGTGCCTCTGGATAGATTGCACTGGAAAGGGTACACCATCACTTCTGTGACTTTTCTGCCAAAAATGTGTAACCTGAAATTAATTGTGAGTAAATTTTTGAAAAAATTTAAGGGAAAAAAATAACCTGAGAGTCATACTATAAAATAACTAGCCTTTACTCTTACAAAATATTAAGGTCCTAAGAAACCAAGAAAGACTGAGGACCTGGGAAAAAACTACAAGAAGCAAGACAACAAAATTCTACATTACAGACCAGGAAAAAAAAAAATGATCTTTTGTTGTAAAAGAAATTAGTAGGACAATCAGTAAATTTCAACAAAGTGTAGATTAGGTTAAATGTTGTAAAATATTAACATATCAGCTATCTGGGTAAAGGGTAAAAAGGAAACTTATTACAAATTTTGCAATTTTCTGAAAGTTTGAAATAATTTTAAAATTAAAAAAGAAATTTTTAAAGTAAAATGTGGGGCCAGCAGGTGGCACAGAGGTTAGCTACGGTGCTAGATCCCACATGGCCAACTGTGTGGTTCGAGACCCAGACCTGACAGCTTGGAAATCATGCCTGCCCAAGATCCTGAGAGGAGAATGGAGAAGGGACTGTGGTGTGGTCATTCCCTGGGGGGTGATTTCTCACTTTCCCTTTCTTTCTTTCTGTCTCTCTCTCTCTCTCTGGTAAGCACATGCACTCTTGACAAAAACTTAGAAAAAAAAAAAAAGTAAAATGTGTTCAGCTAAAAATTTCATACCAAAGGGAATACAGAATCTGCAGTAAAATGAATGCTTCTCTGTGAATTCCCCTTGATTCTCATGGGGGGAGCTAGTAAACAGAAAAAGACAAAAAGAAAAATGGATAGCTGCTGATGATCACATGAAGCCCACATTTTAAAGTTGTAGATTAGGCTGTGCCTTATACTTTCTTCAGTAAGGCAAAAAAATGAAGGAAAAACCTGTAGACTCTGCTGATCATGGTCACCTCATTATCTGGAAGAGATCATATAATATGCAACTCTCCGGTCTTCCAGAAGGAAGACTATACAAGCAATGGTAATGGGACATTAATTTGTTGAGACCTGTAATCCTAACGAGATCAGTGAAGAGAAGAAATCCACAGCATTAAGCTATACTGGAACTGTCTAGCAGATTCTAGACTAGACAGTACCTGATGGCAACCAGTTACATATTCCCAGAATCTTTAAGGGATTCAATAGAGACATTCAACATGTGGCACAACACAGACTGCTTTATCACCAATGATGCACTGAAGTACCAGTACTCTAAGAGGTTTGATACTGATCCAAATAAGGTGGATATTCAGATCACACTGCCACTAGCTTCCATACCCAGTACTTAAGTGGGACAAGGACCAGTGACTGGTTATTGCCACTTTATGTGCTCTTTAGTCCTGGAAATCCCTTTACATTCTGAGACACTTCTTACTATCCATCATGATATTTTATTACACTCCACACTCCCCATCTTACTGCCATGAAAGATGTCTACCCACTGGAATCTCTTCCAACTCCACAGTACTGCTCCTCCCAGCATTTCCTCACATTTTCACAGTCAACTCTCCAACATCTGGAGATTAGAATAAGATATACTACTGGTATTATTTTGCTATATTATGGGTTAACTATACCTTCAAGAAAAAAATCTATTATTTTTTTCTGACAGCACTTTTATGGAAACCTAAGTTCCAAGTGCCCAACAGTTAACTTAACAATGAATGCTATTGTATATAGGTTGAGTAGAATTTTAAAGATGATCTCTGGCATACAGCCCTTCATGTGGGGATAAGGACTTTTATCTTACTCATACAGAAGAAGTCACTGTAATAACCAACAATTAAGACTGAAATCCTATTGAGTGTGTGGCACCATTCAACACACTTTCAAAGTCACTTTATTAAAACTTAATACTTATTCTTTCTACTCTAAAATAGAGTAAGAAAGTGCTATAATATACAATGGGAGCTCTACACAATGAATCAACATATAACTACTTTAGAGATGAAATATAGTAATTGTCAAACTGTAAGTACAGGAAATGTTAAAAGCTAGGATGGAGAATATCTTATAAGAAAGAAAAATGCAAACATTAAAACTGTTTTTTTATGATCCAGCAATTCCATTTCTGGGTATATATCCAAAAGAATTGAAAAAAGGGATTCAAACAGATATGTGAACATCTGTGTTTGTAACAGTATTACTCATAATAACCAAAAGGCTTTATAATTTCCTTTATATTAGCCATTAACTGCCCACCCCACACACACACATTAAACACAAAAGTATCTATATGACAAATGATTTCAAAAGGCTTAATTTAAAACAGGCATTTCTAAATCCTTATGCCTCCCTTCTGAATTTTCTTCTCTGTATAAAAACAAAATTGACAAGATACTTAAGACTACAGCCAAAAATAGAAAATTTTCAAAAATCACAACAAATAGCCATCCATAGATTTTAGGAGATCTGATGATGGAAAATTATAAGAGTATGTCCATAAAATAATTTATTGAAATAATAAATTTATCTTTGATTTCAGTTGAGTAAACAGTTCATCTGCAAGTGAGTCAGTATAGTGGATATATCTAGCAGTTTACACAGGTAACACGTTGCTTTCTAAGTAGTGTAAGGATAACACGAAGGACATAATGATCTAAGCGCTGAACAAAAACTACAACAGGAACTTTTTTCTAGAAAGGGTCAAAAGGAATTACAAAACAATGAAAATAATAAATGGCAATATAAGCTCTTTATCCTATATGTGACATTAATTCTTAATTAGGAGGAACATTCCCCCAGAAAATATAAGTCAGAATCTTCTTGTGGCAGTTTGTACTTAGAAAAAATATATTCAGTAGCTCTGTTCAGTTTACGGTACAAACTATAGGAAAAAAAATCTTTAGGACAAAGGAAGATGTGCAGAATATGCAATAAAAACCTAGTTAGCAAGGATTAAGAAATAGTGAGATGAGACATTAGAACAGACAGCTGCCCTCAGGGAGAGTTTAACTGAGTTAAAGATGTAAATGGAAAAAGAAAGGTAACCTTCAAATCTTACCTTGGAAAAAACCTCTCTGATCTAGGTACAATCAAAAGTTGAATATTAATCATGGATTATTTTCAGCCTAAGTTTTAGACCAGAATAACTTAAAAGCATTAAAGACAAAAATAAAACCTAGCATTCTGAAATCAACGGCAGAGACAAAAAGAAACACTTTAGATAAAACATTTTAATACCAGAGTTACTAATGATCATAAGAAGAATTTATGTCTATTCTGAAAATTCAAGAATACAGAAAAAGTGGAGTTTGACTCACCTCTCGAGTAGCTAGCTGGTTGCTGAGCTCTGCAGCCTTCTCAATATTCCATTCATCCACAGCTTGGTCTATCCTCTTTTCAAGGCCTGACTAGAAAGAAAACAAACCTAAAAATTAAGGGCAGGAAAGAAAGGCAAATATTCGCTAGTCGAGAGTATGCCAAATACATAACCTATATGGACCATTTAATTGTCATAATAATCCCATAATGTCATGGATGCCATTCTCATTTACAAACAAGGAAAAGTCCCAGAGACATTAAATGGCCTAGCCAAGGTGTATAACTTCTTGAACTAACAAAAGGAGATGTATGTCCAGATTTTCTTAAAGTATTTTTTTCTCTTTCATAAGAGAGAGAGAGATGGACAGACAACATGCCCAACAGAGTGCTAATACCACTACCCACTTCAGGCCCTCAGCCAGCCAGACTGTGGGCAAAGGTGTGCCTTGTACATAAAGCTGAATATTAAAGATAGGAGGAAAATTGCTTAAAAGAATGGTTTATTTTCCTATGTAAAAGTTTTTATTGCCAACATACTTCAAGAAATTATAATTAAAATTTTCATAGGGTTACCAATAGACTTAGGTCATAATACATTTTTAAAAAAATACTTAAATAACTGAGTTCTAGCTTGTGAAAACACTTAGTACAGAAAATAAAAAATATTTAAGATGGTCTAATATATGCTTTGTAAAATATTTCATCCTAACAGTGGTCATATAGTATACCCATTAACTTCTACATTTCAGTTAATACTGTATCCTCTAAAGACTTCCTCCTCCTTTTTTAGTAACAAAAAATCCTAATATGTCTTCCATCAGTATACTGCTTGATTATAACAGGCAACTGAAATAAAGTTTGGTCTGATGTAGCCTTTATGAGGTCAGCATGATTTTCTAACACATGAATATAATGTATACCAATCAAATCAGGGTAATTAGTATTACCCACCACTTCAAACATTTATCATTACTTTGTGTTGGGAACATTCAAAATCCTCCCTTCTAGTTACCTTGAAATGTACAGTATATTGTGGTTAATTGTAGTCACCCTACTGTGCTAAAGAAACTTATTATTTATTCCTCCTATGTAACTGTAATTTTTTATCCATCAATGAAGATCTCCCTATCACCTCTTCCCCATCCTTCCCAGCCTTTCGTAACCACTAAGATCAAATTTCTTAAAACAAACGACAATGGAAATACAATATGTCAAAACCTATGAGACACTGAAAAGCAGTACTAAGAAAGTTTATAGCAATAAATGCCAATATAAAAAAATAGAATGATTTTAAATAAACAATCTATGATGTACCTTAAGGAACTAGAAAAGAACAAAGGGAACCCAAATTAGTAGAAGAAAAGAAATACTAGAGCTCAGAGCAGAAATAAACAAATTTAACACTAAAAAACAAAACGAAAAGTTGGTTTTTTAAAAGATAAATAAAACTAGCAGGTCTTAGAAAAAATCAGCTGAACTTAGAAAAAAAATTAGAAACAAAAAGAAGAGGCATTCCAATAAACACTACAGATACACAAAAGATCATCAAGGACTATTATGAACATCTGTATGTCAACAGTTAGAAAATCTAGAAAAAATAGATTAAGTTCCTAGATACAAACAAATTATCAAAACTGAACCAGGGAATTAACAGAAAACCCAAACAGACCAATAATAAGCAATGAGATTGAATCAGCAATAAAATACCTCCTAAAAATAGAAAAGCCCAGGACCAGAAGACTACACTTCTTAATCCTACGAAACTTTTAAAGATAAACTAATACAAATTCTTGAACCACTCCAAAATACTGGTAAAGGAATTCTTCTCACATTCTCTCCAGCCAGCACTACCCTGATACCAAAATCAGACAGACATGACAAAAAGAGAGAGAAAACTGCAGGCCAATATCCCTTATGAACACAGATGCAAAAAATCCTCAGCAAAATACTAGCAAACTCAATCCTAACATCACAAAAAAAGGTCATACACTATGAAAAAGTGAGATCTACCCCAAGGATGAAAGATACTTCAACATATACAAATCAATAAATGTGATACATTACATCAACAGAATCAAGGATAAAAATCATATCTCAATAGACACAGGAAAACTATTCAATAAAGTTTAGTATCTATTCATAATAAAAACTCTCAGCAAATTAGGTACACAAGAAACATACCTCAACACAATACATGTGGCCATATATGGCAAACCCACAGTTAGCATCATACTGAATGGGGAAAAGTTGAAAGTTTCTCTAAAACTGGAACAGGACTAGGATGACTGCTCTTACCACTCTCATTCAACATAGTACTACAAGACCTTGCCAGAGCAATTAGGCAAGAGAAGGAAAGAAAGAGCATCCAAACTGGAAAAAAGGAAGTCAAAACTCTACCTCTGTTAGCAGACAGCATAATCATACATATATAGAAAAACTTTAAAAGTCTATCAAAAAAACTCTTAGTACAGGTACAAATTTGGTAAAGTTACAGGATACAAAATTAGCATATAAAAATAAGTAGTTTTTCTACCCACCAAGAACCAATAAGCTAAAATGGAAATCAAGAAACCAACAGGCTTTTTTACACTGTAACTAGAAATTTTCATTCAATACGTCTTTGTAGTCTTTGATCCTAGGCCATCTGGCTCCAATTCTCTTTCCATGCTTGTTCTATCTACCAGTCTCCAGAAACTTCTCTTCCATTTCTGCAGAATTTTCCTGATGGTCTAAATATCACCACAGACTTGCTCTTCCAATATCTTTCATCTTCAGGGTCCTATAATTCTATCCACCTAAGACTATTCTCCTGATGGTCTAAACACCAACACGGACTCGCTTTTCCAATATCTTTCATCTTCAGGGTCCTATAACTCTATCCATCTAAGACTCTGGGCCAGTAACACTTCAGCTATGGCCCGTTTACCAGTTCTGGTCATAAACAGTGCCAATCTATGAACTGTTTATTTTGATCCATGCAGAGATAAAGAGCTTATGCCAAAATGCAAATTAACTTAATGACTAAACAACATTGTTTTGTATAAATGACTTTTTGGAGGTGTGGGGGGCGGGGGAAGATAACAAAACTTTCTCAGTAAAGGAAGTAATAGACTGAGTTACATTCAGGCTGTAGCTCCTTTATCTCTTCATAGGCCAGGACTCTGAGAACAACTATTGCAGGTCATGTAATAGATGTCACCACAAAGTTCCACCTCCAGAACTTTACAATCTAGAATTCTGCTCCCTGAATACATTTCTTCTTCTTTTTTTTTAAAGAGATATTTTTGCTATAGGGCATGTGCACTTGCTGGAGAGACAGAGAGACAGAAAGCAAGAAATCACCCCCCAGGAAGATGGCCATGCCACAATCCCTTATCCTCCATTCTCCTCTCAGGATTTTGGGCACTCTTAGACACACCCAGCTTGTTTTTCAAGCCACCAGGTCAGGTCCAGGGCTCAAACTGCTCAATTGGCCACATGGGATCCAGTGCCTTAACCTTCATGCCACAACTCTACTTGACACAATTCTACTTGACCCAAGTCTTTTTACTCAATAAACATGGGTTGTCTCTATCTGCAAACTTGAAGCTCAGTAAGGACAGACTCTGTATTGTTACAAACCTCATCATAGTTCTTCAAGGGCTCAGACCAAAGCATAAAACCCAGGAATTCTAAAAGTTTGAAGATGGGTACAAGCACAATCTAAATTTGACTTTTCTAAGATGTCCTCCATCCTACAGGATTGGCAGAAGGCACAGAGGTGCTGCTGATAGCCTTCAGTACCTGGGTGTGCTTCTTAGTTGCCTTTGCTTGGAAGAGAAATATAGCTGAAGACATATCTTAACACAAACAAACTTAGAGATAGCAATTTAGCCACAGGTGGAAAATTCATCTAAGGGTCGCTTCTAATAGGTTCCCATGAGGCAACCACCAACCTATAATTATTAAAGTTTGGCTACAGATGTCAAAGAAAGCTTGACTACAAATATCTAAGAAATGTGTAAGTACTAGGTTTATTATGAACTAACTACCCATATGCACATATATAGAATATCTTTTAATGTATAATTTAAGCACTTTAAATTTAACTGTACCATTATGTATTTCCTCATAGTTTCTATAAAGTTCAGTAAAACCCAGATTTTGAACAAATGACTTGGATTTAAAAATCTCACTTCACTGCTTACCTGCACTATTTGTTTTCATAGGCAAATTATGCTGAGCTTCAGTTCCTTCATTTCTAACAATACTGCCCCTTCCATACCTAGCCCACAGGGACCACACAGGGATCAAGAGAGAAAACTGTAATTGATACCAGGGGAACTTCATACCCACACTCTTCTCCTTCTACACCCTAACACTTCCCCTCTCCATACAGTCAAGAACATGTATTTACACCACTGCTGTCACCTGCTTCCCAGACAATGCAAAGAGGCTTGTGTTTTTTTAAATGTAATCTTCCTAATATCCAAAGCTGTTTAAAGTTAGCATAATGGCTATGTCGCTGGACTCCCATGTAGTTGACCGCAGTTTGAGTCCCAGACCTGGTGGCTTAAACTCATGCCGGGCGCGTGTGCATGCGTGCCCAAGATCCTGAGAGGAGAATGGAGAAGAGGGGATTGCAGCGTGGCCATCCCCCCAGGGGCCCCCAAGGCACCAGCTTGTTATCTGATTTATGTGCTGCAGTACCATGTAAGTATCAGTTTGGAAAAAGCATTCTGCTAAAAAAGTATGAAAAAGCTATACTATAAAATAGCAGTTTCTTCTCACCCCCCTCGCTTTTTTTTTCTTTTTTTTTTTTTATTGAGAGTTTTTTGCTATAGGGCACATGCGCTTGCCAGAAAGACAGAGAGAGACAGAGAGACAGAAAGCGAGAAATCACCCCCTGGGGGGATGGCCACGCCGCAATCCCCTCTTCTCCATTCTCCTCTCAGGATCTTGGGCACGCACGCACACGCGCCCGGCATGAGTTTAAGCCACCAGGTCTGGGACTCAAACTGCGGTCAACTACATGGGAGTCCAGCGACATAGCCATTATGCTAACTGCTGGTCCCTCTTCTCACCACTTTTTAAAAAATCATCAAAACATTGTATAATTACTCTAAAAATTAATAAAAGTACCTCTGGTTTTCCATGTCAAAAAATACCTATTATATATACATAAATCTACTTAAATAATGACAGCTGAACAATCAAATTGATTTAACTAAAGAATACTTGAGATGTTTACAGTGAAATTAATGAGTGAAATTTATCCTAAAGAAATTCCCACATAGATTTGACATAATTATGTCACAATTACAGAATTATTATTAAGTCCCAGAACTGCTACCAAAACACTATTATACTTGTATTTAATACAAAGAACACTTTAAAACAGCTTTGGATATTAGGAAGATTACATTTAAAAAAACACAAGCCTCTTTGCATTGTGTGGGAAGCAGGTGACAGCAGTGGTGTAAATACATGTTCTTGACTGAGCAACAGGTTCAACTTGGCAATGTTCCAAAGGAGGGAAAAAAAAAAAAGATGACACCATAGATACAAGATTAGGAAGTTTGTTTTGTTTACCATTCTTAAGGGTTAAGTGAATACAAAACAAAAAGGCTCTCTGAGAAACAACAAAAGATGTGTCTCTGCTCAAAATAAATAAAATTATCTATCGGGACCAGCAGTTAGCATAATGGCTATGTCGCTGGACTCCCACGTGGTTGACCGCGGTTTGCGTCCCGGACCCGGTGGCTTAAAACTCACGCCGGGCGCGTGTGCGTGCGTGCCCAAGATCCCAAGAAGAGAATGGAGGAGAAGAGACTGCGGCGTGGCCATCCCCCCTGGGGGGGTGATTTCTCACTTTCTGTCTGTCTGTCTGTCTGTCTGGCAAGTGCACGCACCCTATAGCAAAAACCTCTCCCCCCCAAAAAAAATAAATAAATAAATAAAAATAAATAAATAAAATTATGGACTAGAAATACTGTGCATGCTAGTTCTGTCCAAATTGCATCAGAGACTTCTACAATCCTCTTTAGATTTCATAAGTAGTATCTATTATCTGTTGGACTGACATTTTATATTCTTAGTTTTTATCTTAGTGCCTCCAATGTGGGTGTTCTTTAAGTTGTATTGACTCTGTTGAATTCACAGAAGGAACTTTAGCAAGAAAGCAAAAGAGATGCCATGTAAACAGAGATCCCAAACCAAAGAGTGAGTGTGAAACTGCTGGCATGCAATTACAGTGGTCCCTTACCACCTACAGAGGACAGCTTCCAGAACCCCTGTGGGTATCAAAACCTGCAGATGCTCAAGTCCTTATATAAAATAGTATAGCTCTTACGTATAACCTATGCACATCTCTTATAAATTTCAAATCACCTCTACACAGCTTATAATGTCTAATACAATGTAAATGTTATATAAATAGTTGTTATATTATATTGTTTACTTTTTTTTTTTAAGAGAGAGATTTTTTGCTACAGGGTGCGTAAGCTCACTGGAGAGACATAGTGAGAGAGGAAGCAAGAAACCACCCCCTAGGAGGGATGACCACAACTCCTTCTGCTCCGTTCTCCTCTCGGGATTTTGGGCACGCACACACACGTGCCCAGCTTGAGTTTCAAGCCACTAGGTCTGGGACTCGAACCACAGTAGATTCCGTGGAAGACCAGCAACATGACCATTATGCCATCTACTGGTCCCTATTATACTGTATTGTTTAAAGAATAATGACAAGAAATAAAGAGTGTGTATACACTCAGGAGAGTAACCATCCTAATAGGCTTGAGGACACAGTATAAATCAGCAACAGTGTTAACATCTTCTATCTGTGATACTTGAACTTATGATGTGGAACCTGCAAATATAGAGGGCCAACTGTATACTGAACTGCCAAGAGAATAGAAAATTATTTAGCTTTGCTAAATCCTTCCTTTCCTCTTACACTTGGGATTTTTATGGAGTATAAATGCTGGTAAATCCTAGACAAATATAAACCTGGCAAGCATTAGCTTCCTTGTTCAGAGGACTGGTATGAATTTTTTAGTCAGAGGCCCTTTACATCGAGGAATGTCTACCATTATGAAAACCGAAACTGAAAGGCTGCCAGTTCAGGTACGGAGAGCTCTCCAAGTATACTGGGCACACGTGTGCCCATGATACAGGGCTAGCTGGGGTGAGGGGTGGATTGCAGTATTTGGATCCTGTTGGGGGTGATGTCTCTTTCTCTGGCTCTCATTCATGAAAGAAAGAAAGAAACTTAAAAAAAAAAAAAAAGAAGAAAACCCAAACATAAAATAGATCAATGGGTGATTAGCAAAGGGCTTACAGCAATTTCCTTTAAATAGAGATCTCATTTATAAAACGGTGTTTGACTTATAATTTTTTTCTACAACACATCTAATGCATAATGTGAAATAAAATAGAAGTTCCTAAAAGCAAACAGTTTTTTAAAATTCCCTACTTTCTACTTTTCTTTAAAAAAAAAAAAAAAAAAAAAAGGATAAAGTCTAGCTATGTTATGCTCTTCCTGCCTCAGCCTCCCCAGAAAGCTGGAACTACAGGTGCACACTTGGCTCTAAATTTAATGGTTAACAAGTGCACTTTATGGCTTTAACTTCATTAAGAAACAATTTAGATGTTTTAAAGACAATATAGTTAAAAGGACATACAGTACTGTAAATAGTTCAAAATCAAAGACCACCTAATTCACAAGTAAAATTTAAACAAATATTCCCTAGCAGTACCATTATTTAAGCACTCAGCAGTTGGGACTCTACAGTAGGCACGTGGACCAGGGCTGTCTGCGTGATCCTATTCCTGATGCTTTAGAATGGATTTGAGAATCAAGACTGTCCCCTTTTACACAGTACCTGCTCTCAGCTCACCAGAATCACAAGGGTCAAAATCATGGCAATTATACTTCCAAATGGTTACCGCTCCTTCTGTAGTGAGCTTAGGGAACTGAGAATGGTGTCATGAAATCTTGAGTTTTAGTTTCAACTCCACCAGTGATCTTTATAAGAAATTTAATATTTCTGTACTGTCTTGAACATTTGTAAAAAGATTGCTCAGTAGCAGTAATTAATTGCACCAGAAAGTGATCCTGGTTCCAATTCCCCAAGGTTCTAGGGATTATTTTTAGATGTTCTAAGAATTCTCTGCAAAGGTGGAATCAAAAAATTCACATTCACAATTCTGTTGTGGCAGTTCCTGTATGTATGCACCATCAATGACACAATACCACTCAATACCGGATTTAAAATTAGAGATTTTTCACAATAGTAACTGACTAGAAAATGTCAAAGGCCTGTAAGAACACAAAGCATTCCACGACAATAATTCATGAAACAGGTATCTGTTTTTATACACAGGACACAGTAACTCCTAGGCTTCAACTAGTCTATGGTGCCTCTACCCCTATTACTCAACACTTGAAATTCATGCTCCTAGAGCCTGTCAAAATCCACCCATAAACATGTGAGTTACTCACTCACAGAAGCCCTTGCTAAGTATTAATATACCTAAGAGACTGACAGCTTCAAATATATAGCTCAAGCTCAGACTTGCCTCTAAATCCCTACCTCACTTTACTAACCATATACTATTCTTGCTTTCCAATAACACCAATGCCCCAAACTGAACTTTGGATAGGCTCTACTCTGAATCTTTTCCCCTCCCAAGTGTTCTCATCTATATAACTAGCATCTCTTCTATACCACTGCTAAAGGCAAAAATCCTTTATGTCCCAAATACTTCCCACCATTTCACAAGCAATACAGAGGCAAATACTAAAAATTTTATTAGGTCATCAGAAAAGTCATGATGTATTTTTCTATGCAAAAATGTGTGATGACTTTCCTGCTGGCTGACTCAATACTTCTCCACTCTAACATTTATCCACCTTCCCCACCTTCAGTAGCACCATTCTAGTTCAATCCACCATCATCTTATGCCTAGAAGAATCTCTTAAATGTTTTCTTTTCATCTACTTTTTCTATTATAAAATCCATTCTCTACCTAATAGTCAGACAATCATGTCAAACATAAATTAGATCATGTCACTCTTGACTTAAAAATCCTTAAATGACTCTGAATGGCACTGTGAATAAAACCCATTTTCTTACTGTGCCAGTTTGTCCCTGCCTACTTCCATCTCCAATCTTATCTTTGGCTGCTACCCTCCTCCATGCTCACTCCATTCGGGCCAGGCTGGCCTTCTTATAGTTAGTGACTCAGATGTCCCAGGACAACTCGTTCCTCCCTAGAATCCTTACCCATGGAATTGCATCTTCATGTGGTTGGTTTGTCCTTGACTATGAGGTCTTGGTGAGATTGTATCTCCTAAGAAGGGCTCTCCTGATCATCACACTAAAGTGGGAGAGCCCCATTTTAATTTTTTCCAACAACCTGTTCTTGTCTTTCTTAATAGTTTTCTTAATGATTTATAATTATGTATTTACTTGTTTATATAGTATATTTTGGGTGTACAAGAGGTATTTTAACTTTTTAACTGAAATGAGGACAAGTACTCTAGGCAAGGTTAATCACAAATATATCTTACTAGCTAATATAAAAGATCTTACCTTTTCAACTTTTTTCTTTTTAACAGGGGGTTCAAATCTATCATTGACTCCAAAATACTGAGTAAGCTCCTTCCAGTGGGTTTCATTTGAGGACTTTTCACTGCAAGAAGATTGACAATAAGCCTTGTAGTACACAAAATGTACTAATTTTTTTTTCTGTTTACTATTTTTAATTGGTTACTACAATTATTTTACAACTACAGGTAATTCTTGTTTTGATCAGTATCACAGTTTGATAAGTATAACCATATGGACAAGTTCTATAATACTGCCTGAAATAGCTATTTTCAATTCTACCTACCTCTGAGATTCTTTTCCATTCTTCAATTTATCTAAAAAGAATTCACAAAGTGTCAATATTTGTCAATTATTTCAAACTCAAGTTTTAAAACATTTTTGAATTCAGACACAATTCAGCACTAGGACTACGGGCAAACTGATTTAAAACAAAAAAACCTTTTCTGGAGCGTTTTCTTTTTTTCCCTCTGAATCTTGAGATTGAGGTTTTCTGTTCAGTGTGTTTTTTATGCAGTTCTTGAAATTTCTATGTAAAAGTGGGAAAAAATGAGAAACAAATATATTTAGAAAAAAATGCATTCAAAGCGTAACAAATATATTAATAAAAATTATATTCTCACATTTAGAAAGGTATTACAATGATGACAATTCAGTTATTGAGATACTCTATTCTCCAAGACCATTCCAATCTCTGTTCTGATATTCACTTATTTGTTTCTAAATAAATTGTTTAATAATTTGCAAGTGAAACTTAATGATTCATAAATAACAGACAAAATCTATACAGAAAGTCCTTATGTATCATGTAAGGCAAAATGGCTAAGAGTACATAGTGTTATTTTGTTTCTTCATAAAAAGAAAAAACAAAAATGAAAGCAAGTATCTAAGTGGTCAATAACTCAGAGAACAGTACAAGTATTCTGAGTCCATCTTCTAGGTCCCAAGAACATACACATTCTGACTATGGCAGAGACACATAGAGCAGCCTGCACATACAGACACACTTAGGCTTTGATAAGAGCACATCAGAGAAACCTACATTCCACATATTTAAAGGAATTCCAGAAGGACACACTTCATATGCATTTGCGTTTGCCTCAGCTTCAGTTTTTGATCCATCTGGTGGGAGATCTGAGACTTCTGTTTTGCTGAAGGTCCCATCCTCTTTATCTTCCTGTACGTTAAGTACAGAGTTCTCTGACATTGCTTCATCTTCGGAAGTTGACTCAACATCACTTTCATTTAGGCCAGGAGGTAGCAGCCCACTCCACATATTTTCTTCTATAAGGAAAAACATGAATTTAGACAGAAAGAGTAGCCAACAAACTTTATTAAAAACATTAAGGACATCCCAGGAGCCTACTTATTATAATAATGATTTGGGAAAAATCCATGTGAACTATTTTTTTTTAAATCTAAAGTGCAATGAACTCTCTATATTAAAATAATTTAAATCCTCACCTGTGTAAGTAAAAAGCAGCTCTTTATTTTTAAAAGTTCATTTATTTATATATTCAAGAGACAGTATGTTTGAACATACATGCCAATAGGATGTTGACTCCAGCATCCAACTCCGGTTTCAGCCAGCTTTGGCTCACAGGTATGCTCAGCATGGTGTACTAAGCGGGGGAGGGTCCTCTAGATGTGAACCTGGAACCTACCCACGTGCATCAGCTCCAAAGATTGCCACACTTTACCAATGTGGCCAACGTCCTCAGCCCCCCCCCATCCTGCAACAACGCTCCCTCCCCCACCAAAAAGTATAAGAGCAATTTAAACAAGCTCATTAAATAACATATACACACAGATAAAAAATAGGGTCTTGATTCTCAAATGCATGAATAATTTTGTCTAAAAATAATGAAATTCAATAAAACACCAATTGCTCACAATGTTAAGAGAGACTAACAATATACTTTGCATAAAAGTGTAGAATTAAAATACTATACTATACCAAATAGGGAGTAAAATAAAGTTGGATGTTCTACCTTTATTTGAATATATAAAACTTTCAGAAGCCTTATCATCTAAGAAAAAGGATGACAATTATTTAGAGAAGAAAAGCCTGAAGCAGTGTAAGTTATTTAAGGAAGATGTGGTAGTAAAAAGAATGTCTTATTTTTAAATATTATATGGTTTACTAAAGTAATACTAAATAAACCTAACATTTTAATAAAAACATACAGCTTTTTTGAGTAACAATACTATACATTAGTTCTGAGCAGCAGGG